CATTATTTCATGTATTAGGATTTTTTTGTTGGTTCAAATGAAAGTATAAATTTGATTCTTCGTCACTTCATTTTGGATGGAAGCAGAAGACACTACATGAAAGTTTTCATTTCAGTCTAACTGAAAATGGCTTTAACTTACTTTGATCTATGAATGATAGTTTAGCTGGTTATGCAGCTCTAGTTTGACAGTTATATTAATTCAGCACTTTAAAGATACTGTTCTGTCGTTTCTGGTTTATTTTGTTGCTATTAATAGATCTCTCAGTCTGTCATTCCTGTATATGTACTCTGTCCTTTTTTCTGCGTCTTGTAAGAATTTTTTTTTTTTGTCTTTGATGTTTTATCATTGTTTTATCCCGTGCCCAAATGTGGCTTACTTTCTTCATTTATTTTTTGGAGCTTTCTGAAATGAAGATTTGTGCCCATTAATTCTGGAAAATTCTCAGCCATTATGTCTTCAACTATCACCATCACCATTACCTTCCTACCTCTCTATTCTTATTTTCTGGAGCTCCAATTTGTTTTTTGTCCCTTGCTTTTGATTTGTTTTGGTTTCTTTGAGACAGCGTCTTGCTCTTTTGCCCAGGCTAGAGTGCCATGGCATGAACACAGCTCGCTGCAACTTTGACTTCCTGGGCTCAAGTGATCTTCCCACCTCACCCTCCCAAGTAGCTCGGACTACAGGCCTGTGCCACCATAACAGGCTCTTTTTTTTCTTTCTTTTTTTTTTTTTTTTTTAAAGAGTTGAGATCTCACCGTGTTGCCTAGGCTGATCTTGAAGTCCTGGGCTTAAGCTATCCTCCCACCTCGGCCTCCCAAAATGCTGGGATTACAGGTGTGAGCCACCACACCCAGCCCAGTCAGTTTGTTGTATGTTAGGTATTGATTTGTGCTTCTTTAGTCTGTCTCTTCCTTTTCAGTTTAATCATTTTTCTCCCAGCTTATCTGCTATTATTGTAATGTATTTTATTTTATATTAGCATTAGTATTATTTTTTGAGATGGAGTCTCACTCTGTCGCCCAGGCTGGAGTGCAGTGGTGCAATCTCAGCTTACTGCAGGCTCTGCCTCCCAGGTTCAAGCAATTCTCCTGCCTTGCTGAGATTGCAGGCGTGCACCACCACGCCCAGCTGATTTTTGTATTTCTAGTAGAGACAGGGTTTCACCTTGTTGACCAGACTGGTCTTGAATTGCTGACTTCAGATCTGCCTGCCTTGGCCTCCCAAAGTGCTGGGATTACAGGCGCAAACCACAGAGCCCAGCTGTTGTTGTCATGTATTTTAATTCTATCTTGTCTTCTTTTTAAACTCCATAGAACATTTTAATCATTTATGCCGTATCTATGTAAATTAACCTATGTATTACCACTTTTTTCCCTCCTATCTTTATGCTTCGATTAGGAATCTCTATTCTTCCACTGGAAGCATATTCTTTAGAATTTCCTTTAGATTGTGTTTTTTAGTCACAAATATCACATTTTTTTGGTCTGAAAATATCTTTTTTTCTATATTTTTGAAAGATATTTTTATTCAATAGCAATTTCTGTTGGCGCTTATTTTCTGAGTATATTAAAGATACTCCATTGTGTGCTGGCTTCTGTTATTGCTGTTGAAGAGTGTCTTAGTCCATTTTGCATTGCTGTAAAGGAATACCTGAGGCTGAGTAATTTATAAAGAAAAGAGGGTTATTTGGCTCGTGGTTCTGTAGGTTGTACAGGAAGCATGGAGCCAGCATCTGCATCAGGAGAGTGCCTCAGACTGCTTCTACTCCTAGCAAAAGGTGAAGGTGAGCCAACATACCACATGGTGAGAAAGGGAACAAGAGAGAGGAGGAAGGTGTCAGGCCCATTTTAACAATTATTTCTCGTGAGAAATAGTGGAGTGAGAACTCACCCACTGCAGTGAGAATGGCACTAAGCTATTCATGAGGAATCCACCCCCATAACCCAAATACCTCTTACTAGGCCCCGCTTTCAGCGTTGGAAATCAGATTTCAGCATGAGAATTGGAGGGTGCAAATATCCAAACTATATCAAGGAGTTAGCTGTAAATCTGTTTTTATTTTAATTTCTGTATTTTTCATTACGAGAAGTTCTTTTTAATTCATTTTCAAAACTGCTTTGTCATTTTGTATAATCTCCTTCTCTTTGCTCATGTTTTCAGTTTCTTTTCACTGAACATTGTATTCCTTGTGTCCTGTAATTCTTACATCTATTATCTTGGGCCAGATTCTTCCTATCCCTCCTAATATCTTAATTCCTTTTATGTTTTATCTTTGACTGTGAACTCATTTCTTATCTATACACTATAGCAGTAGGAGTTCCTTAAAGTCTGGGCTTAAGGTGCATTCCCTTAGAGATTTGATTTTTTTGTTGTTGTTCGTGTACCTGACAGCAATATTGGCATGAAACCATATTAAACTCATTTCTTAGTGTGATGTTTTTCTGAGCACTCAGGAAATGTGAAATTGGGCAATAAATCTGTATGAGTCAGCTTATAGTTACAAATTCTTTAGATTTTATTTTTTTACCACTCCTGTTGTGAAGACAAAAAAATTTTCTTGCAGTCCTCTAGTTGAGGATTGGGGGAAGGGACTTTTTTCTAGTATGCCCCTTTACTGAGTGTGTGTGCTTTTGGAGTCCCAGCTCTGTACAGAGGAAGCCAAATTCTACCTGCCCACTACCATCCTCATTTAGTAAAAAATAAAATTCCATAAAACTCTAAGCACATTTGAAAAAAGTTGAATTTTATTAAGAATATTTAATATTTTTTAGGTACTCAAATGTAATATATATAAATACCAAATCACTAATGACAGTTGTAGTATGACATTTCAACCAAAAATATAAAAGTAGGCTGTTCTATAAAAGAGCAAGTTGTGGTATTTGCCAAAGTAGTGTTCTTACTATTTATATATTATCTTACTGGATTGCAATCTGATTTGTAGAAAAATAGCCAGTGTCAGACATTGATTTGTTCCCATTTTTGGCTCTTATAAATAATACTGCTAAGAACATTTCTATACAAGTTTTCATGTGGACAAGTGTTTTTATTTCTCTTGGGTATATATGCAGGAGTAGAATTGCTAGATCACATGGTAACGTTTTCAAAAGCAATTATACTACCTACAGCTTATGAGGTTTCTAGTTTCTTCACTTTTTCACCAATACTTGTTACTATCTGTCTTTTGTATAATAACCATCCACGTAAGTTTGGAGTAGTATCTCATTCTGGTTTTGATTTGCATTTATCTAATTGATAATGAGGTTGAGCATCTTTTCGTGTGCTTTTGTTGTTCATTTTGCTGTTCACATCTTTAAAGAAATATCTATTCATGTTCAAGTTTCTTTCTCCTTTTTTTTTTTCTTTTTCTTTTTTTTTTTTTTTTTTTGAAATGGAGCTTCGCTCTTGTTGCCCAGGCTGGAGTACAATGGTGCGATCTCGGCTCACCGTAACTGCCGCCTCCCAGGTTCAAGCGATTCTCCTACCTCAGCCTCCCTAGTAGCTGGGATTATAGGCATGTGCCACCATGCCCAACTAATTTTTGTGTTTTTAGTCAAGAAGGGGTTTCACCATGTTGGCCAGGCTGGTGTCAAAATTCCTGACCTCAGGTGATGCACCTGCCTCGGCCTCCCAAAATGCTGGGATTACAGGCGTGAGCCACTGCACCCAACCTGTCCATTTTTTAACTGGGCTATTTGTCCTTTTATTATTGAGTTGTAAGTAGTCATTATATGTTCTATATACAAGTCTCCTATTAAGTATATAATTTACAAAAACATCCTCCCATTCTGTGAGTTGTCTTTACTTTCTTGATGATGTCTTTTAAAAGCACAAAATTTTCTAGTTTTGATGATACCCAGTTTATCTATTTTTCTCTTGTTGCTTATTTTTTGGGTGTCAGATCTAAGAAACCATTGCCTAATCTAAGGTCGCGAAGACTTAAATGCCTATCTTTGCATCTAATTTAATTTTTTTTTAATTAAAAAGTTTTTATAGTAGTGCTAATAAAGAAAATCTTAAGGGAGAAAAAAGCACTCATATTCTCATTAACCTAGAAATTATTTACTTTTGCAATACTGTCACCTCCCTGCTCAGTATATACTTATTTTCATTATGACTATTAAGTACTATGTTGTATTCTGACATTTTCTGTATTTATACATGATATTAATAATTTTAATTTTTAAGGCTACATAATATTTCAAGTTTATTTCCCAATTTTAAAACAATTTTTACATAGTTTTGTTTTGCTTATATGATAAAACTCCAGTTAACATTGGTAAGTACATAACTTTTTGCTTCTGTTTGACTTATTTTCTTAGTATAATTTTCTAGGAATGTAATTACGGGGTCAAAGGATGTAAATATCTTTACAGCTCTTATATGAAGTCATATTACTTCTAGAAATTATTGTAATCAAATTCTGTGCTTTCATTTAGTAAATGTAATTGATATTATAAATTGAAGAATTTACCTTGAGGATAATTATATCAGGAATCCTCCATCAAATTCAGAGTGAAGTGATATGTGTATTTCTTCATCTGAAAAAAGCAAAATGGTACTTTTATGAGACACTTTGTACTGATATTTAAAACTAGGACAGGCTGGGCATGGTGGCTCGTGCCTGTAAATCTCAACACTTTGGGAGGCCAAGGCAGGTGGATCACCTGAGTTTGAGACCAGCCTGGCTGGCCAACATGGTGAGACTCCATCTCTACTAAAAAATACAAAAGGTTAGCTGGGCGTGGTGGCAGGTGACTGCTACTTGGGAGGCTGAAGCAGGAGAATTGCTTGAACCTGCGAGGCAGAGGTTGCAGTGAGCTGAGATTGTACCACTGCACTCCAACCTGGGCGACAGAGCAAGACTCAAATAAATAAATAAATAAATAAAACTAGGACAGTTAGTTGCCTTTTTGACTAAAGATAAATATACTTAAAATTTATCATTTTATGGTACCCTCTAAATAATAATAGTATAATTTGTTAAATTTCTTTAGGCTTCGGGAGCAGGAAAGAAAAGAAGCAGAAGAAGCTAGTCAAAAGGAAATAGAAGAATGGGAAAGAAAACTTCTAGCTCAAGCAGCTCCAACTTGTATGGAGACCATGTGGGAAATTCCAGCTATTGGGCATTTCCTTTGTTTAGCTCAACAAATTCTAAATTTGCCAGAAATAGTCTTTTACGAATTGGAACGTTGTCTTCTGATGCCTCAGTGTAATGTTTTCCTATCTAAAATAATGACTTCTCTATTAAGTCCTCCCCATCGCAGACCTACCTTACATCGAAGACCTACTTTGCCTTACAGGACCTGGGAAGCAGCACTGAGGCAGAAAGTACAACAGTGGTACACTGCTGTAGGGCAGACTGAAAATCCTGATAACTGTGCTGAAAAACTGGGGTTGTGTCCTCAGTTTTTTAAAGTTCTTGGAGAAGTCAGTCCATTAGAAGAAAAACCTTTTCACGAACTACCTTTTTACCAAAAAGTATGGCTACTTAAGGGTCTTTGTGACTTTGTGTATGAAACACAAAAAGAAGTTCAAGATGCTGTACTTGGACAGCCTATCCATGAATGCAGAGAAGTTATTCTTGGTTATGATTATTTGGAGAATGCTTATGTACATTTTCCACAGTTCTGTGGTGCAGACGTACGGATTTATAAACAGAGACCCTTTCAGGCCCCAGAATTTCCAATTCCACCCATTAAAATACAAAGAGTACCTCGGATTAAATTGGAGAAATTGAAGTGTGACTATGTTAGTACAAGTAATGGAGAACATAGATGTAGTAGAGACAGCATGCCCTCTGCCTTCAAGAAAGAGCAGGAAAATAATTTTGATCCAGCTTGCTGCCCTACTAAAATGATCTTGGATAATCATGACATCTCTGTTGAAATGGAAGTAAAATCCAACTATGAAATTAGAATTCGCAGGCCTTGTGAAATTAAAAAAACTGATTGTTGTAAAGAAAACTTAGAGAAACCAGGGAGTCCAGGGGAAGTTACTGGCTTTGGAGAGCCTCTCAGTCCAGGTGAAATAAGGTTTATAGAAAATCAGGAAAAATATGGTGAAGCTTCCAGAATAAAGATTGAACCCAGTCCATTAAAAGAAAATACTCTAAAATCTTGCCAAATACATGTAAATGGAAGTCACAGTGATCATCCAGAAATTAACTGCCACAAAGTTGTAAGGGATATTCTGTTAGAGCAGTCACTACAGAGCCACAAGAAACTCAAACTAACTAAAATGAGGGCAAAAAAGAAGAAAAAGAAAAAAAAGAAATTGAAAGATGTTTTGAATGAAAACTTACAGAGAAAGCGTGAAGGTCTTCATTCTCTTGCATTCAAGTCTTACAAACCTGAGATCCAGAATAAGTTATTGATCATCAAAAAAAAAGCAAAACACAAGAAGCACAAATCTGGTAAGCTAACACAAATGGATGGGAGTTATGTTTAAGTATAATTCAAATTGTTTTTTCAATTATTCATCATGGGTGCTTTGATTGAGAGACTGAAATGCACATGTATGCATGCGTGTATACTTGAGGGTCAAATTTTATTTTATATTCCATGAGTTAAAAAGGCAGAGTACATGTCGTTTTATATACTTACAACAAAAAAAGTACTGATGCAGTAAGTTTGAATTTAATTTTCAGTTGAGCGTGTTTGGGCATTATGTTTTTACCTTTCTCTGAACCAATTTCTTTCCCATCACTATGCAATGGTTCCCACCCCAGGTGTAGGGCAGTACGGTGTAGTAGGAAAAGCACTGATTTCAGGAAGTAACATTCCCAGGACTAAAGTTCATAGCAACTAGCTACTTAAACCAAGGGTGGTCAGATTATCTTCCTGAGTCTGTTTTTTCTCACATCATATATTTTTCAGAACTCTGTTTTCAGTATATATTTTTATATCAAGAAAATATGTGGAATATAAGAAAATTACATGCCACTGCACTCCTGCCTGGTCAACAGAGCGAGACTCCGTCTCAAAAAAAAAAGAAAAAAAGTTAGTCTCTAAAATATTAAATAATATTTTAAAATTAGAACTACTTCCCAACTCAAGTATATAATATATTAATGTAATTGTAACCCAAAATCCTTTATTGTTTATTACACTGCTATTCATGTGCTCAAAGGCAATAAAGTGGTTTATAAAATAGACACTGCTGTAGATCAGAGAGAAAATTGGAGGGAGTTTTGTATCCAGTTCTAGAAAAATGAATGGAAACACTTGGAAGGCAAATTTATACATTGTATTCAGCAAGTACTCTAAGCCTTAATTGAGGAGAGAAGACTTACATGCCTGAAATAGAAGAAAAGAATACACTTGTTTGTATACTTACTTTATTCTCAGAGCAAATTTTAGAAAGTCAGGTCTTAAGTGACAAAAATGTTTGGATCTGGTAGATCCAGTTTTGTCTGCTTACCTAGTTAATACTGGGTAAACATCAGCTAATTCCCTTTTTTCCTCAGTTACTGAATTCCTTGTTGATATAACAAAGTTACATAAAATGTTATAATAACAATTAAACATTTGTTTTATGTAATTTTAAGTCCACTTGTCTATCTGAAGCTTTGCCCTGTTCTTCTTTATTAGGTGTGAGACATCCTGGCCTTTCATAATCAGTTTGGGGCATACCTTAGTCCAGTCTTTACTTTCTCACTGTTTTTAAAAGTGAGCTCCATCATCATAGGTTTGGAAAATACTCCTCTTAAAGATTCACATTGTGCTTTAGTAGAGGTTCACAATTCATTTTGCAAAACTGATAATAGATTTGTTTTGAAATTTAGAACTCTTCAGATATTAGAACGGTGTTATGGTGTATATAATGTTTAAGTTATCCCCATTGGGGCTTAGGTTAAGGAATATCCCCAGTGGGAATTACTCCTGTAATCAAACATATAATCTCTACAGAGAAATGTATGAATTAGACTAAATAAAACAAAGACTAGAAAACCTTAAGTTCAAGTCAGGTTTTGTTACCATATAAATTACATTTGAGACTTTTAGTTTTCAAAACCTTTTGAACTTCTAATTTGTTAAGTTATTCTGGGCCTGTTTATTAAAGACTCTGGAAAGTCTTGAAGAAAAGAAAACTGCTTGATTTTGTTTAACGTATTTTTTTCAAATTTATTTTAACACTGCTTTTTTTCAAGTAATAGTTACCAATAACCTGTGTATTCTGTAGAATACACTCCGGGATAAGCTGTGTCATTTATGACTGATGTATGAACCTACATGCAATCAATCTGGTCTGTTTTATGTTGCGTAATACAGGCTTTAATTTTTGGTGGTATCTCCAAATTTAGTAAACCTTATTGTATTGGCAGGTGATTTTTAGTAGAAGGCACAAAGACAATTTGGTTGAAAATGACTTGATAATTTTAGCACAGTTTGAGGCAGTTTGGGTAACATTTAAGCATTTTAATCTACTTTTCAAAATTGGGATTTCCTTCCTCCTTTCTAAATTTTGAATTCATTTTTACTCATTTAGGCCTGTTCCTTACTTTTGGAAACATTATGGAATAAATAGAAGACAATGGAAACAATATAATGTCCATTATCTCATGCTTGATCTTATGTTTTTATTCAGTCATAGAATAAGAAAAATATGACCTGGCAATTAGAAATTTTTCCTTGATGACCTGTTTTCAAAATATAAATGTTTCTGAAAACTTTGTCATTTAAGCAAGACAAGCAAGATTAGCTGTGCATAAATTAAAAATAACTAAGAGTAAAAAAAGCCCAGAGGAAAAAAATTTAGATCATTTGGTTTTCTTTCATTGTTTTTTCTTATTATAAAAGCAATCCATTTTTTTTAAAGAATATAGAGACAAGCAAAAAGAATAGCCCTTTCGCTTTCCTCATTACCTAGTAAATGTTTATTCTTTTATCACTTCCTTAAGGAAGCCTCCCGTTATCTTTTGACTTGTTAAAATTTTCCCTGTTATTCATGCTTATAGCACCAGACACTTCTCCTTCATAATACTTAACTATAGTTGCCTTTACTTCTGGGTTATTTTGATGATTGTCTCCTCTTTATTCTGTAACATTCTTAGGGACAGAAGGATTATTTCTGGTTTTGCATCCCTGGCACTTTAGCAGATTGGTTGATGCATTGTGTGGGAATATACTGAATAAATAAACACATGTAATATGGTTCACCTAGATGTAACTAAAACTAACTACTTATTATTAACTACTTATTATTTCAACACTTTTTCAAAGACTATATTTGTTTAAATAGGATTATACTATACATACCATTTTAACAATCTGCTTTTTTCCCCTACCTATCAGTATACCACGAACATCTTTGTGCAATAAATAGGTCCCTGCATCATCATTTTAAATGGCTGTGTAGGATTCTGTTGTGTGTATTTTGTAGTTAATTTAACCAATCTCCTTATTGGACATTTTGGTTGTTTTCAATAATGTACTGTTATTATAGATTGTGTAGAGCAAGTAGAGTTGGCTAAAATGAATTAGAAATTCTAAAAATTAGGGGACTTTTTATAAAATCTGAAAAAATACAAAAAAGATTACAGATGCATTAACAATTACAAAAAGCTTATGGTGTTTTAAGATGCTTTCAACCAGTTTTGTTTGGAATTTTTTTTTTTTTTTTTTTTTTTTTAGAGAAGATCTGTTTGGAGTGCATTGGCATGATCTCTGCTCACTGCAACCTCTGCCTCCCGGGTTCAAGCAGTTCTCCTGCCTCACCCTCCCGAGTAGCTGGGACTATAGGCGTGTGCCACCATGTCCAGCTAATTTTTGTATTTTTAGTAGAGATGAGGTTTCACCATGTTGACCAGGCTGGTCTCGAACTCTTCACCTCAGGTGATCCGCCCTCCTCGGCCTCCCAAAGTGCTGGGATTACAGGCGTGAGGCACCGTGCCCAGCCAATAGTCATTATTTTCACCCAGATCATTTTATGGTATCACCTCTAAACTGACTAAAATGGATAAGACAGGTGGTCTTATCTCTTATACGTGAAAGAACTAAGTTAAAACTCTTATAGGTGAAAAAACTAAGTTAAGTGGTCAGTGACCTCAAGTGAATAACAGTTAAGTACAGATAAAGACAACACAATAAGGTCAAGTAGAGAAAAAATCAGTGTGCTATGCTAGTCTGGGAAGGTTTTACAAGGGATGAAGGACTTTGAAGAATATTGGGGATTGAATAGGTGGAAAATGTTGAATAACACGAGCAAAAGCATAGAGGTATAATTAAGTGAGGTGTCACTGGAAGAAGCACAATTAAAGAAAGCTTTTGTGGAAAAGTTGAGGTTTTAGAAGCTGTTCGAATGACAGGAAAGTGTCATTTTGGGGTCATCTTTCTAGGCATGTGATGCTATGTTAAATGATTGAATCAAGAGTCCAGTGCAAGGGAATTGAGCTTGAAATAAGATACATCAGATGTGTAAAAAGTAATGAGCTGCTTTATAGGAAATGACTAAGAAGGTAATGTAATCTACAGTGTTTGATTATTTCAAGGCCCGTATTTGTGAAAAGGTTATTATATAATTCTATAGTGACAGCACTAGAGACCCTAACTACATGTATCTTATGGAGAAAAGTTTTAGCATACCAGCTGAAGATTTCAAAATATAAGAGTGCAAGGATTTACTGTGCTTCATGTCCTTTTATTTTTTCAATCCTACTTTTTCTCTAAAAAACCTAGTACTCATTGAGTGCTTATTGTATGCCAGGCACTATTCTAAGCCTTTATACATGTTATCTCATTTAATCTTCATGAAAACTTCAAAAAATAAATATTACTATTATTCCCCATTATTACAGATTTTAGAGATTTTTAAAAATTGAGATACAAAGAGATTTACTTGTCCAAGGTCACACAGCTAGAGCTAGTAAGTGACAGGATTAGGAGAAAGGGTCTTGCAAGATAATTAGGATGCCATTAAAGAGCTATGAAAAGAAGCTGGCAGGGGTAAGATGAAGGGATAGATGATAACTTTAACAAGAGAAAATTCTAAATCCAGGTAAGGATTGATAATGTGACTTTTCTATCATAATGATAGAAGAAAATTCTATTTTGAGAGAGATGCTGCAATAAGTAGCAGAATTTGGCAACTGATTCAATATTCTCAGGTAAAAGTTAAAAGAAATGGGTGTTGAGGAGTTACTGAATTATGTGATAAGGTTAAAGAATTCCAGTATGATAAGAAATTTGCTTATAGGTAAGGAGAATGAAAGGAAAATAAACTGCTTTGTTAAGGTCAAATTGCTTACTTGAGATAGAACTCCAGAAACTCCTGGAGTATAGTTAGCTCAAGACGTGCACATTTAGTAAATAAGAGACAAGTTTAGGCTCTAGTTCTGTGACTTTACATCCCAGGCACTTTGCAGATTCACTATTTAATAATACAAATACCCTTGAGTTTTCACTTGCAACAATGATTAATATCTTAGTATTCATCTATTTATTAAGATTCCTAAGAGGAAAGCACAGAGGGAGGAGTGAATGTGTTGGGATAATTTTAAAACATGGAAAGGCTGAATCTAGGAAAGCATTGAAGTACCTTTTTTTTTTTTCTTTTTCTTCCTCCTTTCCCTCCCTGAGAGACAGGATCTTGCTATGTTGCCCAGCTGGCCTCGAACTCCGGGGTGCAAGCCATCCTCTCACCTCGGCCTCCCAAATAGCTGGGACCACAGGCGAGCTGGGATCACAGGCATGCACCACCACACTTGGCTTAAAATGGAAGTCTGAGTATGAGTAGCCCAGTGGTCTGAGGAGTGAAGACAGGAAAACCAGATGAAGGAGAGGGGTAAAGATGAGGAATAAGAAACTGAGAAAGGGGAACTGAAAGGGGGATGATAATCACCTTCTTGTGTAAAGAAATATGCCATTTTAAAAAAAGGCATATTTCCAGATTCTAGAAAAGTAAAGTTTTATGCCTCAGTTACAGTATAAAATATATCTTAGTTATGATTTTCCCTCTCAGTTTGGGCATTCTTTTCTTAAGTTTTTCTAAGCATAGTGTTTTAGAAAGCTTCATTAGGGTATACTTTCGTAACATTAATTACTAAGGTTTATTATTAAGGTTTATTAATGTTTCCTTATGCATTTTCCAGGTACAGGTTGACACTTCTTGTTTTAGGCTCAAGAGTGGTGTTGAAATTCTGTGTATGTTTTAATTTGACTTCTGACTTCAGCATGATTTTAGGTTTGAGAATTTTATTCTGTTTTATATGACCAGGTAACTTAGGGCAGTGGGAGTAAAATACCTGGGATATGATCAAGTTGAGTGATACGGGAAGGGAAGCCCACTGGGGGGCAGTATGTAACTTGCCCTGTATATATTTTGTCCTGAAGCAAAAACAGATTACCAAATAAAGGCGTAGTTTTGCAGTATATGATGCTCGATTTTTAAAATAATATTTATTTTTTAAATGCTGATTTTTTACTGAAGAATACAGGAAAATTTATACTGAAATTTTTTTTTGAGGATATATACGGAAGGTATTAAAAAACTAAATGTACAAATCATCCAACCCTAATCAAAAGGAATGCTCTGAGGCAAACAGAAGCAGATTACATCTCTTTCAAAAAATTTGAAAGAATGCAATATTTTACCATAAAAAGAGTAAGCTTTGAAGTGAGACAGACCTAATTTCACATGTATGCTTCTAGTGCATATTAGCTACAGCTCCTCCATCAGTTTCTTTACCTGTTTATAGCCTGTTTCTTTATCTGTGATAAGTGAGGTAATACCTACTTGGCTGTATTGTTAAGATTAATTAGAATAGCAAATGCACAGTATGTCACATGGAGCCTGGCACATGGTAGGAATCAATAAATAGTAACTCACGATATTTGTGCAGTAAAATTACATAATGGAAGGAGCTTGAACTTTGTAGTTAGAATCCCTGACTGTGGTGCTTACTTACTGTGTGACACATGAGTAAGTTAATTAATCTTTTTGATCTTCAGTTATCCCATATTACGATAGAGTTACTACCTACCTGGGAGGGTTATATTGAGAAATAAATAAGTTAATTTATACAGACCACTTTACTAAGTATCTGACATATAGTAGGTTCTCAGTAAATGTTAATCTTCTTACTACCACTACTAGGTCATGTTGGTAAATTGTTTATTTAAAATCGTCGTCAGTGTTTTCTTCACTATAAAATAGACTTAAATGGACCCTCAGAATTCTAAACAATTACTTGCATACCTTTTCCTACCCCCCAACTGGTGGTGACATTTCTGAAAAAAGTAGGATTCTTATATTTAGGGATCACTTCTTAGAACTTATGTGTGCTAAATGCTGTAAATACAAAGTGAATAATGTGATTTCTGTCACCAATAATTTACATTATAGTAAGGATGACAAACATAAGAACAGACAATTATAATATTCTATTACATTCATTAATTTGTGTACAAAGTAGGGTGGTAGTTTAGAGGACATATGCATAAGAAGAACTGAGATGGAGTAAGTAAAAAGAATTTGAAGAAGGTTAAAAGATTTTCTGTTTAGGCTTTTCTCACCATAGCTTAGCTGAAGCTAAAGCAATAGCTAACATTTATTGATCACCTACCATGTGCCTAGCAGTAGTATAAGCTTTTGGGATGTTAGAACCCATTTAATTCTCACAGAGTAGATAATACTATTATCCCTGTTTTATAGATGAAAAAACTGCACAAAGAAATAAAGCAGTTTGCTCAAGGTCATGTGTGTAGCTATTATACATGACCTCTGTAATAGTAGGTGGTTGTAGCAGATATTCAAACCCAGGTAGTTTAGTTCTAAAACTCAAGCTTATAACCGATATATAACATTACCTCCAATTTCCTAATAACATTTAAGCATCCTAATGACATGGTGAACTGAAATACCAAGTAACCACCTTAGCTTCTCAGTCCATTCAAATAGAGTAGCTGCTAGAGTTAACTGAGAATTTAGTACCTGTGTTTAGTGCCTGTGTAAAAATAAGATGAAATTCATGGGACTATCAAGGGTGACCTCTGTTGTGCTTATAAATGAATGTGAAATCAAATGGCTTTTTTTTTTTAAGCTAATCAGAGTAGGACTGGTGGGGAGAGGTTTAGGAATAATTTTATTTCCTTCAAATTACTGTTTTTATAAAACCTTCCCGTACATAGGTCAGCAAGACCATTCATTTTTTCTTGTGAACTTCAAAAAATGGTAAAGGCAGTGATAGAGGAAAGGCATCTTGGCATTCAAATTCATGAGCCCCTTTCAGCAATACTTAACGGCACTCAGTTTAGAAATCAATTACTAGCTGTATTATAGGGATACCAAGAATTTAATCATTCCTCCCTGAGTATTGCTATTTAAGCAGCCCACCCACTTACCTATCTTTGTAGGCATTTACTTCTGTTATAAGGTACTGTGTAAGCACAGAAGTAAGTAACAATGGTGAATAAAGAAATATATGTTGGGTTATTTTAATTTAATTAAAAGCAAATGTCAAATGACACCTATCAATACTTACTAAAATAAGACAGTTAAACCCCCATGAACCTCAGCAACTCACAATTTGCAGTTCAGTCATAGTATACATGGATTTTATTGAGCCAAAAGTTAGAAATTTTATAAATTATAGTTCTGTGATATGATTAAAAAGTAATACAAAAAACACAATTATAAACTGGAATTGTGTCAGTTGAGTTGACATATTCTTGCAAGATGATCGTATTTATATAGGAAAATGTTTGGAAAGGAGCATTAGGATTATGTACAGCAAAGTTACTTTATGTACTCATTTTCCCTTTTGAAAAAAGTATTGACTTTTAAGGGGATTTTAGTCTGCAAATGGTTGTGAGCTAAAAATGACAGAAAAGTATTTCTGAATATTTTTTGTGCCCTTATGTAGACTGTAAGCTCCTAGAGGATAGGATTTTTCTTTTTTATGATTTTTTAATTCCTTCTTGTCCCTGTAACTTGTACAGTGTCCTATATCTAGTATATGTTGAGTAATTAACAGTTTGTTAATTGATTTTGCTAATTACAAATTGGGGGAAAATGTTTAATGTGTTTCTAACTAAAAATAGAATTTTTTTTTTTTTTTTTTTTGAGACAGTTTCACTCTTGTTGCCCAGGCTGCAGTGCAATGGTGTGATCTCGGCTCACTGCAGCCTCCACCTCCCAGGTTCACACGATTCTCCTGTCTCAGGCTCCCAAGTAGCTGGGATTACAGGCGCGCGCCACCACACCTGGCTAATTTTTGTATTTTTAGTAGAGACGGATTTTTGCCATGTTGACCAGGCTGGTCTCGAATTGACCTCAGGTGATCTGCCTGCCTTGGCCCCCCGAAGTGCTGGGATTATAGGTGTGAACCATTGCGCCTGGCCTAAAAATAGAAGTTTTATGCATGTATGTATATTTTTTTGTCAAGTTAAATACAGAAAGTAGATATATTTCAGTGTATACTGTGAATTGGCTTTAAGTATAAGAGGTTTATTTTTCCCAGTGGTTTCTGGTTCCACAAACAACTAGGTGCACTTTAAAGGTAGATATTTATCTTCTTTTAAAACTTTGGGTATTGATACCACCAAGGGCAGCCTGTTAGGAGAGTGCAGAGCTAAAGGAGTAGAAAAGCTTAGTTACCTAAGCTACTAAGGGGATTTTTCACATTGGGTTGGCTAGAGACCATAGTCTTCAGCTGTAGTTCTTATGCCAGTTCCTGACTGCGAAGTCAATGTTAAAGGTAAAGTTTTTCTCCCTATGTAGTCTCATTTTAAGTTGCAAATGTAGATTTTAATTAAGCAGTAGTAATATGACTTTTTTGCCTAATCTTGAAATAAATTCTACTGTACAACACTTAGGAGATGTAATAGTTTGGTTCATATAAAAATAAAACAGCATTTGTTAATATGTCTGTTAACAGGTAGTTAATAGTTTAATGTTTGCTTTTACTGGGGCTTGTTTTGATTCATCATTTTTATTTGACTCACTAGCAGCCGTCTGTTAGTTAAAATTTAACTTTCAAGGCTCTGCGTAATTTGTTTTTTGTTAATGAAGTGCTATAAACAGCATTATGAAGCTTTTCTCTTTTAATCTTGAAAGGAAAAAAATCCATCTCTAAAAAAGCAATCACAAAGAAGAGGAAAACTGTCACAAAGTCACCTACTGTACCAGAGTTTCAGGTAAATGTTTCAACTTTGTCTCAAAATTTTTAAATTTTTTGTTTCAGTGTTCATATCATTCCTGGAGAGTTTGGCTGAATTCCAAGAAACTGTAGCACACATACTTGTAATGAAATATTTCTGACAATGACTTTTCCCCCTGCAAGTGCAGATGTAGCCAAGATTTAATCTGCTAGTATTTCATAATTTTTACCTCTGTTTTTGTTTTTTAATAGTAAAAACCCTCTTTTATATCTTAATCTCTGCTATGTTTCCTAGAAGCAGTTTAATAGAAAATATATATATATACACACTATATAGTATATGTCTGTGTGTGTGTGTATATATATTATATACATAAAAGCAATGTGTGAATGAAACTCTTCCTAGAACAAATCATAATTGGAAGATGGTAATATTGCCTAGGTAATTCATTTTCATTTATTTGGGCACTGTAGAAATAAATGGTGTATTTATTAACTTGGAAAACAAATCTTTCAACTGTTAGCTGTATATGATCTTCAGAGAGAATGTTAAGTAAAGGTTAATTGAAATGGTCTTTAAACATTTAAGTAAAAAGAAAAAGTAACTATATTTACTGCCATATGATTAAGTGAAGAGTTTTTTATTGGTAGCTAATACTGAGCAGAGAATCTCATCCTAATTAATGCTTTTATTTTCTATTTTATAAAAGATGTATTTTCTTCAATAAACACTTTCTTTAAAAACGTCTTTGTATTCATGTGTCCAGTCAATTTTCAAAAGTTTCATAAACTCATACCTAATGACCAAAAGATAAAAGTGATGTTAAAATGAATTTGTGAGTCTCAAGTCAAGTAGAGATGAAAATAAAGGGACAACAATCATGAAAATATTGATAATATATAATGTGAGTTTAATAGATATATCTAAAAATGTGGACACCTTCATTTTCAGTAAAAATTCTATTTTGGAGAGTGTTTTTATGGAAGTTACTAACTGGTAAAAATTTAACATTTTTAAATCAACAGTTAAAGAAAATAGATACGTTTTTCTCTTAGTACTTTAGAATAGAATGTTTTTAATGGTATTTTTAGGATGAATTACAAACATTTCTACAAAATCCTTTATTATATTATATAACCTTGGTTCCAGAGTAGTCAATAAAAAAATAACAATTTTACTGTTTACTTAGAGGCCTTTATACCACTTCTTGTAACGTATTTTTTAATGCTTTAGTATTATATCATCATGCTTCCTCTGATGTCACACCTATGTTTACTCTTTCTCCCACTTATTTTTTTCTCAATCCTCAAAGCATCAGCCCTGGGAATATAGATGTTAGAGCACATCTGACCCATTGTTAATATTTCCTCTATACCCATCTTAGTGAATAGACTTTTCCATGTATTAAGTAGCACAGGCTGCATAGACAGTGTTTTTTTAAATTGCAATAGTATTCATTAGTGAGGCATGAAATCATTTTAGTAGATTGCATGACCAGTGTTTCTTTTTTAAGCTAACAAAATTAAACTAGAAATCAACACAGTTACATATAGTAAGTGTGCTACATATAGCAGTGTGGATATGTACACTAACATATATTGTTTCATGAAACTTTGGTTTCAGTTATGTGTGTGTACACAAGGACATGCATTGTAAAATGTGTTGCTGACCATGGGTCATGGTCAAAATATTTTGCTAGATTGAGCTGTTTAAAATAGTCTTGGCCAGGCGCAGTGGGTCACGCCACTTAGGGAAGCTGAGACAGGTGGATCACCCGAGGTTAGGAGTTCGAGACCAGCCTGAAACCCCGTCTCTGCTAAAAATACAAAACAGATTAGCTGGGTGTGGTGGCATATGCCTGTAATCCCAGCTACCCAGAGGCTGAGACAGGAGAATCGCTTGAATCTGGGAGGCAGAAGTTACAGTGAGCCGAGATCACGCCATTGCACTCCATCCTGGGCAACAAGAGGGAAACTCTGTCTCTAAATAAATAAATAAATAAATAAGTCTCTTCCTGATTCTCAGGGTGTCCTAGAGGGAGAGAAAACAGAGAGAGGGAAAAAAAGAGAGAGAGAGAGGATAGAGAGGAGTAATAGTCTCATGAAAACAGTGGTTCTTGTGCCTAGTTTACAATATGAATGCCACGGCATTACTCATAAAGAAACTTGGCAACTAGGGAAATAGATCATTTGCTTCAAATACACACATCAATAAGATAGATAGTGCTAGTCACTAGTAAACTTTGCTGTTAAATGCAAAACTTAGTTTTGTCTCTCAAAATAATTTTATGTAGTGTGTTACTTTATTTGAAAGTCTTCCACATGTAGGAAGACTATTATGTAATAAAGTGAATTTATTCCCTGCCCAAAAGTTCTAGTGATACGGTATTTAGCACCTCAGATTCTGCAAATTTGTTTTGTCCAAGGTGTTTTAAATGTCACATTTCTAATATTAAACATAAAAATATAGAAATATTTAGCCAGAAGATTTTCATATTGTTCATTCTGAAATATCTTGCTTCTGAGAACAATGAACCTGTTTTTGGATAGATAATAGATCCGTTTGGTAAAACCTGACCGATTTGCCAAAGGACCGGTCTTCTTTAAATTGGCAGAAAGCATGCTTAGATAGAGATAAATGAAAGGGTTAAATTGTGAAGTTTTTTTGTCTTTAAGTCCTAATGAGTTTTTAAAAATGTATTTTGACCTCAGCTTCTTTTTAGTTTGCCTGAGTTTTTGACTTTTTTTAAAGCTAGAAGTTGAACTTGCCCCCCTATTTGCTTCAGAAAGAATCCATGTTTATGTACACACCTAGTGTCTGCACCCAGGTTTAGAAAATATTCATCCCGCTCCTATTTAGGGTATCCACTGTGAGCATTCAAATAATGGATTGGATTTGTGTGTGTGTGTATACAGTCAGCCCTCTGTATCTGTGGGTTGTGGGTTCTGCATCTGTGCATTTAACCTTGGATTGAAAATGTTTTTTTAAGTGTGTGTGTACTGAACATGTACTGACTTTTTTTGTCATTATTCCCTAAACAATATGGTACAACAACAATTTATATCACAGCTACATTGTATTAGGTATTGTAAGTAATGTAGAGATGACCTAAAGTATATGGGAGGATATGTTATATGCAGATACTATACCACTTTATATCAAGGTCTTAAGCATCCTTGGACTTTGGTATCCACAGGGTTCAGAGGTGAGTTGTGGAACCAGTCCCCCACGGATACTGAGGGACGACTGTATATTGTAAAGGGGCTAACCAAATGTGTGCCACTTTTTCCTAAGAGTTATGTCAGTGGTTCTCAAATAAAAATAATGTGATACCTTCATTTAAAATGAAGATTGTTGGTTTCATTCTCCAAAAACCTTGATTCAGTGGGTACCAGTTATCTGCATAGTGGTTAAATACAAGGGTTCTGCAACCAGACTACCTCCTTGGGTTTGAATGCCAGCTCTGCCACTAATTAACTCTGTGGGGTAAGCTATTTAACCTCTCTATGATTCCAGTTTCTCATTTGTACAGTGGGGTAGTAATAGTACCTTCCTTGTAGAGTAGTTGTGAGGATTGAATGATACAGCTTACTGTTTTAGCCATTTTTATTGTTTTCAAATAAGCAGGTCAGTTGCTTCTGATGAAAAACACTGAATTATGCATAGGAAAATCAATTTAAAATGGCATAAAAACATCTATTATTGACCCTTAGCACTCTTTCCATTTACTTAAAACCTTGAAATAAATCTTGGATTTGGTCTTAATGAAGGTGGCACATGATTAAGCCTGTAAGAATTTGAAAAGTGGAAAACCAAGTAATAGTATTTGCATCATGATGTTTGACGAGAGTGAAAACTTATGTTTATACCTTCTTTATTGTTATGATGCATTATCTATTTGGCATGTAGGGAAAATTATTGGATTTTTTTAGTAATAATTATTGATATTGGTGATTTAAGTGTTTATATCAACTTTAACATTTACTTATGACTTTGTTAACTTGGTAAAACTCTCTTTTCCTTACCTGTTTTGTAATAAAAGAAAGACTATTAGACTGAAAAGTGAATATCAGTTTTCCTAATAGTTACTTTTTCTAAGAAGTCTTTTCATTTAACATTTAAGAGAGATATCTCATGTTATATGATTTATCTTTTGTGCATAATTATGACAGTTACAGGAAGTATTTTTAAAAACTAATGTGTTGGGTCTCAATAACATAAGTTTTAAAAATAATTTAACAGCCTTAGTTACCCTAAATCTGCTTTTCATTGATAACCAAAAAAACATCTTTCATGCAGTGTGCACTTGCTCCCATTTCATGTGCATGATTGATTTTAATGGCTGCTTTGCAGAACTCCAGAATCCAGCTGCTAAGACTTACATTAACATTGTTTTCAAACATAAGCAAAAACTCACTGATCCTTAACATACCTCTGAAAAAACTGTACTTCTCCATCTAACCAATGGAGAAACTAAGGGATAAGAGATAAAGCACTTCAGCAAAACAAATTGAAACCAAAATTAAAATTAGTTTTTTTTGTTGTCATCGTTTGTTTTGAGACGGAGGATCGCTCTGCCACCCGACTGGAGTGCAGTGGCATGATCCTGGCTTACTGCAATCTCCGACTCCCTGGTTCAAGCAATTCTCTGTGGTTTCCTCTATCAATGTGTCATCTTAGGTCATTTTACCTCTGTTAGTTTAATCAGCTTTTTAACTGCTTCACTGTATTTAAGACCTTTTGATTATATCATTATTTTGAATTGCTCCCTCTTAAAATGAATATTTTTAACCTCGGCTTTTTGTTTCACTTTTAACTGCAGGAGTTCTTAATTCTCCCTTAAAATTAATATAGTTCTCCCTTAAAAATATGTATAGTTCATTGAGAGAAACACCTGTGTTTAATCACATGGTTGTTTATCAGACTTATTTGACTTTCACGTCACAAGTGATATCCTTATTTGCAGGTTTTTAAGTAGTCCTTATTGCTGGTATGGTGATGATAAGAAATAAAAAGGAATTTTTCCATCTGCATAGTTTTAGCAGATGCTATTATAATTTTAGTTTAAATACAATATAAATTTTGAATTTATACCATGCATTTAGTATTTCACTTATAATTTTTATAATAAATTACAGGATCTTTTTATTAGAATGGGAGTGAATGTGATCCCTTTTGTCTGGATTTTTTCATTTTTACTTTTCTACATTGTTTTCCTTTTGCTTTGCTTTTTAATACAATCTACCGTGTTGTTTATATTTTTTTAATGTTACCTTATGTCCTTTTTTGGAGCAAGTAAATATCTTTCAAACCTATTGCGTTTTTATCCAAATAATTTCTAGTTTGAAGTATCAATAAAGTAAGGAATGATTTATTATGCAGTTGTTCTGAGATGTAGTTATGTTTTTTTGATCTCTGCAGGGCCTCCCCACTCCCACCATATACATACATTGCTGCTTCTTGAGTTGAAGAGAGGACCTTTTAATATTACCATTTAATAAAAGTGAAAGCTTAGATATAAACTAAATCCTAAAACTACAATACAAGTTCAGTTGTTAGATTTCTTTATTTTGTTTTGTTTTGTTTATAAAGACCCTTTTAAAAAGAATATAATATAGTAGGAGAAGTCCTGGGTTCTGTGGTTTCCTGTATCAGTGTGTCATTTTAGGTCACTTTACCTCTGTTAGTTTAATTAGCTTTTATATGAATTAGAGATAGGTCTCTTTAGCCTAGGCTAAGGCTTGGACAAATTACATGTTTTTAGTCCCTTTCAGCTCTGAGATCTGTGATTTTGTAGCTTTGCCATGGATTGTATTAAATGAAAGGTTAACTTGAGGGAGTGTGACAGCCTTGGAGAGGTTCTTCCTGGGAGATAAAACTCTTCTTGTAACCTCTGCGGCTTGACTGAAAACCTCCTCTCAGGAGCGTTAGCAATGTGACCTGACTGTAATCTGAGCTGCTTTGGAGTTTCTTGTTCACCCCTGTGGGCCCTGTGCCTCAGATATGTTTTTGAAATGCAAGATAATGAGAAGGAGGTTTTAATAAGGTGTTTTGCTTTGTTAAAAAAAAAAGTTGAACTTTGTTTATTGGGTTGATTCTGTTTTTAAAAGCATCATATGAAGTTGAGTTGAATGTAATGGCCACATATATGCCTTATTTCGAAGGTAGAAGAGAGGCAGTAGAGTTGTTTATGACATTGAGTTGGCATAAATCACATTAATTGTGTTCCTATTCAGTTTTATAAAAGGTTAATTTGACTCTGTATATTGGGTATATATATTAAATATATATAGAGAGAATATATATTAGTATTAATATATTAAGTATAAATTGTTATGTAGCTATTAAGGTCATTTTAATATAACCTCAGAATAAATATTATAGCTAAAAATATTTTAAGAAACGATTGTATTATCATTGTACATTTAATTCAATATGCCGTTCCCTATTTGGAAATTAATCTTTTTGTATTTTCATACTCATTAGCTCCATGATACTAGACTGTTTCAGTAGCCATGTTGATTTGTAATTCATAGTCATTTAGTACCTTACTACTCAAAAATGTTATCTGTAGACAATACCTGGAAACTTGTTAGAAATGCAGAATCCAAGGTCTCACCTCAGACATACTAAACAAAAAACCGTTTTATTAAGATCCCCATGCAATTCTTATGCACATTAAAGCTTGAGAAGTACTAATTTAGTAGTTTACTAACTAGGTAAGCCACTTGAAAGTGTTATTTCAGGTAGCTCTTAAGCTATATGATTTCATTCATGGTTTGGCTTCAGAACTGTGTTATCTCTTGATTTAAATGGAACATAAATATCTGTTGACTTCATAACTAATTGATAATTGAAAGATCTCAAAATGTTTTAGGGCATGTTTAGTTGTAGGGGTATATGTCTTCATTTAGTTGTAGGGGTATATGTCTTCATTGTTCCTGTAAATTTCTACAAACTGCATGCAAAATGTACCCTTATTCTTTGTGTAGTGAGACAACTGAGATGCAAATAAAAATTCCTCTGAGGTTTGCCATATGTGCAAATAAGAAATCTATGATTTGATATTAACAAGTACACCAAGTTCAGTGAAAAGAGAAATAGCCATCCATCTACAAGCTCTGGGGCAAATTTGACACAGTCATCATAATAGCAGATTTTACTATGAAAAGTTTAGTCCTCACTGAATACTTAATAAAAATCCACCGTAGGGACAACATTGTTTCAAGTCTTCATAGTTACAATAGAAGATGAAGATGCTCTCTAGTTCTAGACCCACTTACCTGGTTGGCCAGTCCACTGCTTGACCATGAACACTTCTGTCATAAGTAAATTTGGCAAATTGGAATGTGTAGTTTCTAATAAATATCACTGTTCCACTACATCACTGTATTGTTTCTACTCTCAAATTGTTTAATCTGGATTATTTAAGTACATATTTTCCCTGCTCAGTCAATTCTATGAGTTTGAAATTATATAGATATTCCTAATAGGTAATTGTTAATACAAATTATCTGTGATAATTTTTTCTTAGTCTCTTAGGTTGAACTGTCTTGCCATTTTTGTAGATGAAAAGCGTATCAGCAATTTCATATGGTTTAACCTAGTAAAAGAAATTTAAGGGGCTCTGTCTTATTTTTATCACTCAGTAGCCATGAGGAATTATTTTGTTGTAACCCACTTTTGCTTTTGTTGTTTTTGTTAGCTCTTCTAACAAAAGAAAGTGCCTTTTAGGAAAACAATTCCCTTACATGGAAATTAATGAATGTAACAAACATGGGGCTGATAAAAGCTAATGGCGAATTAGTAATTTATAAGTACAGTATGTTTTTTAAATTATCACATGGTATAAACATTACAACGAGACTTTTCATTAATCTGAGATTTTTCCTGTCTATTTGGTTGCAGTTTTGTTTCAGAAATCTAGTTCTTTTTCACAATTTTTTTTAAAATAGCTTAAATTATTTTAGGAAAAAATGTATTGAACGAATTGGAGAAATTCAGTATAATTTTACAAAAACTAAGATGTCGTTACTAATATTTTTGCTATTGTTGCTGACAGTTCACTAAAACTTTAGTAATTAAACCAAGCTAGTTTAGTTGTTAATGACTAATAATTGTTTTGGCCATTTGCCAGTGTTACCAGGTGAAATAAAATGAGCCACACAATTATGAAAGGAAATAGATGCTATCTGTGGAGATGGTTTTATTAAAGAATACTAAACTGATATTAGGAATGTGTACTTTATTTTGTTTGTCTTTGAATGTATTACATATAGTTGCAGTCCTTTTAGCAACCCCAACAGCAGTAACTAAGGTTTGTTAAATTGTATAGTTAGCAAACCAAGGAAAAGGTATAACAGTTCTCCAGGAGTGTGTTTATTCACCTACTGGGAGACTGCCTGATGAAGCATTTCTTAAAGGTGATTTGACAACCTGTGAAATCTAGGGTGAGTTTCCAGATCTTTGTCATTCTGGGCTGAAAGTTAATAATGTTAAGAAAGTACCCGAATTGTAAAGCAAACTGAAAGGTGGGGATGTGGGATAAAACCACCAATGTTGAAATTTCAGCTTCTTTTATACTAAGCCTGAAGTTCATATATCATAGCAATAAATAAATATATTTTAAAATATAAACTGCAGAACTTTCCTTGCTTTTTACTATTACAGAGAAAAATAATTGTGAATTCAGTGTGTGTTAAAACAACTTCTGTTACCACATTTTGGGTGTTTTATATTATGTGTTATCAAGCTGTGTTTTTGTGTTTTATTTTAGCTTATTTGCACTAATCTTGATGAACTCAGGGAATTAATCACAAAAATCGAGAATGAACTCAAAGATCTGGAAAACAGTAGAAAAAAATCGGTAGGTGTTGATCCAAAAGTTCTATCTATTATTGTCAGCATTAAAATTTATTCCTGCTTTTTCCTAAAGCTTTTTTGAAATCTTGTTTTCCTGGATTACATGAAAATTTACAATGAAAGATAGAAACATTGTTTCTTTTATTTCTCCTGTGTGATCTAGTTTTCATTTTTAATAGAAATCATGCCAGGGCAGTTAAATTAATTTTATTTGCCTGGTTTGTATCAGGTATAGTTTTAGATATTTCCCAGTATACTGGCTGGTTGTTTTCTGACTGGTACTTTTTTGGTTAATGTTTGCCTTGCAAATATTCTTAATAGTTATATGCAAATGGAAGTTTATTGCTTAGTAACATAAAATTTTAATTCAGTGTAACATAAAAACAGATATAAATTGTTTAATACTGCCCCAGATGATTTTGATACATACTTAACAATATGACTTTTTTAAGAACCTTTATCTGGTGAAAGTTTTTTAACTTTCACTGTATCCTCTAAATTATAATTTTTACTTTCATTTTCTAATATTTTTACTGTTCTTGAGAGACTAGAGTTTAAGGGCATATATTTATTCACCCGATACTTGGTAAAACACTCAATTCTACTATTTATTAAATCAGTAACACCTGTTTAACTAGCATTTATAGTTGGGCTATGCACAGATTTTAAACACAATTACATACCAATAAATAAATGGGAAAGGCTTTAAACCTGAAGAAAATCATTTTTTTTGAACCTTTCGTTTTGCACCTTAGGAATATCATGAAGCCACTTTTAGATCTATGCTCAGAACCTGTTAATATAAATATGTGTAAAACATGGTTAGTGATTCAGCAAGTTTGATATCGGCAGATTTGTATTAGTCATTTTATATGTTGTTAGGAAAGACACGTTGGTAGCACTCTGAAAGGAGATTGCAGTACCATAAAAATACAACCTTCTGAAGTTACTTAATACTAGGGTGAAACAGCCTTAAGCATTCCAGAAGTCTCATGTGTGATAGATAACCCTGAGAGTATCATGGTAATTTAAGAGAGAGAATAAATGCTTATAATGATAGTCATCAATTAGCAAGAAAACATTCAGTAATTAACTTGAGAATGTGGAAAACTGCATATTTTAGAAATATTTTCATTAAAAATTGTTTAGATTATTATATTATACACATACACTTTAGGTGTATAGGCAGTCTCTTGATGTGGAAGACCATGTGTTTCATTAAAATTTACTGCTGTTATATATTCCTCAGACATTTATGCTATGTAAATGTTATTTACTCTGTAGCCAGAGGGGTTTTTTTTTTTTATGTTTTATGCTCAGAAAGCACTGATTCTGTTCGCTAATAGAAAGGAATAGTCTTTTTAAAATATCAGAGTGTTACTGTTTTTTGGAGGGGTTTTTTTTTTTTATGTTTTATGCTCAGAAAGGACTGATTCTGTTCGCTAATAGAAAGGAATAGTCTTTTTAAAATATCAGAGTGTTACTGTTTTTTGCAGAAGTTGTTTTTAGGGAGGTGTCCATATTTCATTCTAAACAATTCTGTTAAATAAATTTGCCAATTTTTTTATGCTACAGTTAAACATAACTTTTATTTATTCCCATATTATAAATTAGAGGGTTTTTTAATGCATAGTTGAATTATATACTTATGACATATATTATAGGAGAAAAAGACTTCTGCAAGCGTTCTAGAGGCTTCTGTAAAGCCATTCACCTCATTTCCATTGGTACTGTGTAGAAGAAGAGTAAAAGAAGACATAAACCACAGTCAGGCGTGGCAGCTCAGGCCTGTAAACTCAGCACTTTGGGAGGCTGAGGTGGGAGGATTTCTTGAGCCCAGGAGCTCGAGACCAATGTGGACAACATAGCTAGACCCCCATCTCTACAAAAAATAAAAAATTAGCTCAGCGTGGTGGTGCATGCCTGTAATCACAGCTTCTCAGGAGGCTGAGACAGGAGGATCACTTGTGCCCAGGAGGTCGAGGCTGCAGTGAGCTGTGATCATGCCACTGCACTCCATCCTGGGCACAGAGCCAGAGCCTGACTCAAAAAAAAGAAGAAAACATAAACTACAAATATTTGACATTGTATTCCTTGAGGGCATGTTAATCAGTAAATTTTAGATTACCCTAGGGTTTAATTGATTTGTATCTCTAAACTTTTAACTTGTCCATGCCCCCTGATGTTTGCATATTAGTTTTAAAATATGTTTTCCACCCTTCAAAAAGTAGAAATTCTTGGAACTATACTTAGCAGGGATAATCTTACTGAGATTACCAACGTAAGAGCTCTTTCTCCTTAATTTAAACTGTTTAAAAGATTGTTTACATAAACAGATTATCTTAACCAATGAAACGGCCACATAGCATAAAGCAAATAGACAATAAAAGTTTGCATCTATTGTTCCTTATTTTTTACAAAAGCTAATATTGAGTGTGATAGATGTTCTAAGAATTAACTTTATTGAATGTTTATGTTATGTAATGTATGTTATGTTATGTTATTTATGTTTACTACCAGTTTGGCATCATTTGGGAGTAAGGTGTTCCACTTAACTGAATTTCTAGATAACTGAAACTTAAACCTTTGATACTAAAACTTAATTTTAATGGAAAAACTTCCCTGACTCCTTGTACTAAACACAATTTAACCTTTTCTTTATGACTTGAGGGTCGTTATTATGAATAACAATATTGTTACTCTAAAAATCTGTTGGTATTAGTAGTTCTGATTAAACATTCACCAAAAGGCTTTTATGTTACAATATTTTGAAGGATTTTGTTTGTATTTTTGCTTTTGTTCTGTCTTTTTTTCATTGCCAGGCTATCTGTCACCTGTCATTTCTTGTGTGTGTCCATATACTTGCCCTAGCTGATATATTGTGGATTAAGAAAGCAGGTAACCATACTTACTAGAATTGAGTTCATGGTGAGGACCTGAAGGATTTTATTAACAATGAAGTGTGTAAACTTGGTAATAGTGACAACTCTTTTGACTGATTCCTTGTCTTATGGCCTTCCTTCACTATTGTCAGACAAATGAAGTATTAATACTGATCTTCATAAGAGTATATCACTGTCAAAACTAAGTATCTGGGGCCAAAACAATTCTTTTATTATCAACATTCATATCTATGATAATGGCTCCAGTAACAAAGAAGATATATTCTATTATAAATATTTCTTTGTCATAAATGTCATTACTAAAGATAGAAATTACGCATGTGATAGAGGATTTAACATGGATTCATATAATACAAACACCTAGCTGCTTCAGGAGGCTTCTCTGCAGGGACTTTCCAGATAGTTTTTCCTACCAAAGTAGAAAAGCAACAGGGAAGAATGATCCCATTTATTCACTCAGGTGAATATTCCATTTTAAAAGTTTTTTTTTTTAATTAATAAACTTTATTTTTTAGAGCAGCTTTATGTTTACATAACAAGGTCTTTTTAACCTTTTAGAGGTTTTGTCATTGAACTATTCATTGTACTGGAAGACTTAGTGTTTTAAAATTTAGATTGTTTACTCATCCTTGCAAAACAACTAATTTTGTTTATGGTTAATAATGTGAAGAGAAAAGTGCTTTAATTTCCTGAAATTTATACTCAGTTCACTTGGTCCCATCACTCCATTTAGGGGTTTAATCCAAAAAGTCGTCATCATCCTTTAGATCCTATGGTACTGAACTTAATTATCTATCAGAGATTTGTTAAAAGTGAGACCTCTGGTTGAGGTAAATATACAACAATGTATTTCTCATCATTATTTACATCATAGCATTCTTTCATGATCTAAAGAAGAAATCGGAACATTTTGTTTTTATTTTTGTAGTTTTAGCAGATAAAATTTGCATTTTGCTTAATTATTTAAAAAATACCTTTTTTAGTGTAGGAAATTTATTAGTTTTCCTGAAAGATAAAGCTAAGATATTGATAACTTTACCTGATCTTATGTATTTGAAATAGACAGTATTGCTTTCTAAATAAAAATTGGAAGACTTCACCAAACTTATATTTCTAAGTTTTTCATATAATCCCCTTTTCCCTCATATTTGTTCAATGTCCTTTATGTTCTGTATCATAGTTCTGATTTTCAAAGAAGTTTCAATCTTTTTCAATTAAGGAGGACCCTCGTAGAGATTGGGTATGAGGAAAAGTGAAAATTTTGCAATAAAAATTTATTTATAAGGAAAAAAACCTCTTCTGGGTTATGTGATGATAAATGAAAGTCTTATATAAATATTGATAAGTAAATTTTAAATGTAAGACCACATCTTTTCTAATACATCTTTTATCAGATAAGCCCCTCAACGTTGAGTAGGATCTAAGATTTTGTTTATTTCTAAATTTTATAATCAATATGTAAGGAAAGCTATACATATTGAGCACAACCGCCTGTGCACTTTGATCCTATGATGTTATTTGGAATTTAACTTTTGTTCTCCCCATTTCTTCTCCGTACCACCAAAAGTAATATATGCAACGGTGTGTTTAGCAGACCACCCCTAGTAGTGGAAATTTGGAAACAATCCGTATGTCCAGCAGTAGGGAGATGATAACCAAACAATATTAACACACTGTTACATAGCTAGTAAAATTGGTAGATCATTGTTACAACATGGAAATATTTGTGAAATGCTAAGTTTTAAGAACATACACAATAGGCCAGGTGCGGTGGCTCACACCTGTATCCCAGCACTTTGGGAGGCCAAGGTGGGCAGATCACGAGTTTAGGAGTTCGAGACCAGCCTAGCTAACGTGGTGAAACCCCATCTCTACTAAAAGTACAAAAATTAGCCAGGCTGTAGTGGCGCGTGCCTGTAATCCCAGCTGCTCGGGAGGCTGAGGCAGGAGAATAGCTTCAACCCAGGAGGCAGAGGCTTCCATGAGCCAAGATCGTACCACTGCGCTTGAGATTGTACCACTGCACTCCAGCCTGGGCAACAGAGGAAGACTCTGTCTCAAAACAAAAAGACATACAAAATAATATGTACATAATGATTGC